TTGCTTCTTGGGCTCTCTTGCTAACAATTTTTGTCTTCATACAATTGATGCTTACTCCTTTCTTGAATTCCTTTATTAGCTTTTGTCTTGCAATTTTCTTTCACTGTCGACCATCAGCATTGTGTCATCTGCATATATTATATTATTATTGTTATTACTTGTATAGTATATAATAGTATTTAGTAAATGGTAGTTACTAAATAATTCTACATAAAGTAGATAAATTAGTGTTTTAGTAAGTCATATTTTATAGCAGTTAGAATTGGTAACTTGACTATTTTCCTGAAATGTACTTTGGCATTTTAGCATCTGATATAAATTCAGATATTTCCTCATTTGAATTTAGATAACTTATCTGGATATTGGCTTAAAATGATCATAAACAGTCATGAAGCTGTCTATTCTAAATAGTTTCTGTATGAGTAGGCATGAGATATTAATTTCATGAGATATTTATGCTTTGGCTTTAGGATATAAAAGATATTTCTTTATGGATATAACCTGTTAAATAGTTATTTGTCATATGCCGCACTCACAAAGTAATCTTTTTACTAAATATCTCTCAATATAAATCTCGAGAGCCACTCAAGGTAGGTTTTTACTAAATGAGGTTGTTGTAAGTGTGTACAGGGAGGAACCAAGAATTGTATATTATGAAGATTTCTTTACTAAATTTCACAATATAGGGGTTGAGAGCCATTCAAAATAGAGGTTTACTAAATGAAGTTGTTGTAAAGATGTTCAGGGAGGAAGCAAAAGGTGCATATAAAGATGTTCTTTATAAAGAGTGAGTTCTTTACTAAATATGACCCAGTATAAGTCTGGAGAGCCACTCAAAGTAGAAGGTTATTGTTAAAATGGTTATGATGAGATGTGTGACATGCATTGAAAAGAAGGTAGTAGGAAATTGGTATGAGGAGGATGGATAATGTTTGACCTTTATTTGTAAAGATTGTAGTGTTCAGTAAAGCATTCATGCAATAGTCTATTCCACAAAGTGGCAGTTCTTGGGGAGCAAAAGCTGTCAGATTTGAAATATTTTCATATATTTGGAACATGGAGGAAATAAGGATGATTTGACTCTGTGGAATTAGCATGGCATGTCTTAGCATTAAATATCTCAAGTCATCAATGAGGGAATATATTGCTTGCCAAGGATTGGGATGCTCATCAGTATTTATTCTGTCTGAAATGAGTTCTATATTGGATTTGAAGTGATGTCCACAGCCACCACAAAGTAGGGTAGGAGGATTCAGGAGATGGAGAGGATGGCTTTTCTTTGGATTCTCTTCATCTTTTCTATTTGTCTTCTGTTGTTTTTTGGGGTTTTTTTTGTGGACTGCTCTTCTCCAATTGGTTCTCCTTACAGCTTCCATCTCCTAATTGACCAGATTGATTTCTGTCCTCAGCAATGTGTTTTTGAGCTGATCCTTGAATCAACATCGTAGGGCTTCACATGGGGCTCTTGATGTGAACTCTGAGAAGAGGATTTCTTTGACTAGCCATTCAGGCAAGATGTCCAGCCCATTGAAGTTGGTGACAAATCCTGATGGTTTTTCAGCTCTTCATTTTTGCATGCAGAACTTTTTTGTTCAGGCTCCTATTCTGCAGGAACTGACAAAAATTTCATTTGATGGACACTTTCAAGTTTGCACATGTTTCTTCAGTAGAGTACCCAGGTCTCACAGGTGTACAAGAGAGTTGAGATTACAACAATTTGGTAGACCATGAGCTTGATGTTTTGTCTTAGCACAGGATTGCTGAAGACTCTTTTGAATAGCTTCCCATATACTGCATGGATGGTCTTGATTTGTTTATCAACATCTTTTTCATCACATACATTGATATCAATACCAAAGTATGGAAATTGTTTAGTATTCTCCAGGTCTAGTCAGTTGATGGTGATTTTGACTCCAGGTGGTGATTGATGTCTTGGCTATGGCTGGAGAAGGACATTGGGCTTTGCATTATGGTAATTTACTCACACACACATAGACTCTCCCAACTATAAATAGGAGCAGGTACTGCCTTTTGAAGAGGAAAGTGTCCAGCAGTCAGCTCTGATAGTCAGATCGAACATTCTTGCTGTAACACTCTTGTTTGTATATGTCTGTATTACTGTTTCTGTTAATATATTTGTTTAACTCAATTCCTCTCTTTGTGTCTTTATTTCTGTCCCTAACAAGGCCACAACACTTTGTCACATTCATGGTGAATACATAGTTCATTTATGCTCAGAAGAAGTTGTCTGTTGAATTCTAGAGGTGTTCATGGTCCAAGGTGCAGTTGTCATTGGTGCATTAGAGCTCTGTCTTGAGCATTTGTTGTTTGAGTCCTGGACCAGAGGTGAGGTATTTTGAAGTGGCTGTCATCACTGTGGTATCGAAGGTCAATTCCAGGGTTGTCATCTGGAAACTCTTGAAGCATTGCTGCTAAGTAGATAGAAAAGAGGGTAGAAACAAGTACACACTCTTGTTTCAAGCCCCTTATAATGGGGAATGGGATGTACCAAATAGTGCAATTAAAAAATGGAGTTCATCTGAACATTTGCCAGATATAGTAGCAATACTTAATTTTTACCTGATTTGACTTTTTTTTTAATATTCAAGTTCACCCAATATAAGGCTCAAGAGCTACTTAAGGTAGTGGTTTACTGAATCAGGTGCACAATATGAATAGAAGTAGAGGGGGTAGAAAATGAAGATTATAAGGAAAAGGATGATAAATAACAATTGACCTTTGACTTGAAGAGGTTATGATTGTGTCACGTGGCCACAACACCTTCCAGCCTAGGGAAAAAGATTTTCTCACTAAGTATTGAGGCAGTTGAGAATGCCCTGAATTTCAGTGCACATTAACAATATTATATATAAAAAGAAAAGGAAATATAAGATACTAGGTCTGTCTGATGGGTTAAAACTCATTAAATAATGATGCAAGCAACAAGACAAACATGGGGGAAGTTTATATAAAATTTTATAACAGCAAATAAATTAATTGCTGAAACAACACGATAAAAGAATGATTATGAAAATATACACAGTAATCAGGGATCGATATTATAAAGCCATAAAAATGAATGGGGGCAAATCAACAGTTTCTCTCTTTCCTTTGTGGAATGGTGTATGCAAATTTTGGTGGAGTTAGGGAGTATTTATCAGTGAGGGCAAGGGGAAAGCAAACTGTTATACAGAAATAAAGTGTCACTGCCGACACTTGGGTTTGAACATAGATCGCCAGTGAGCAAACACAGGTGGTCCCATTATTGAATTATGTAGACCATATGACCATAGAGGAAGTAGGAAGTCGCATGACGTATAATTGATCGTTATTCCTTGTCTATCCTCTATAAGATATGGATCTGCATTTCTAGTCTATCCTCTATACTATATGGATCTGCATTTCTAGTCTATCCTCTATACTATATGGATCTGCATTTCTAGTCTATCCTCTATACTATATGGATCTGCATTTCTAGTCTATCCTCTATACTATATGGATCTGCATTTCTAGTCTATCCTCTATACTATGCAGACTGCTATTCACTATACTATTCCTCTATTCAGATCACTATTTGGATCACTGTTTGAGTGAGTATTATCAAGCAAGTACTATTAGTGTGAGATTATTGAAGGCATCTGACACCAGTATTGTTCAATGGCATACTATAGTTGTGTCTGTGATTACAAAGTCTCTACTACAATGAACATTGTGAAAGTGACAAGTATTCATTGACATCACAAAACAAATGATACTTATCTTGATTTTTCATATTATTATTATTGGAATTTCCCACCACTTTTTTTTTTTTTTTTCAATTTTGTTTTTATTGAATTTTTATATTCTCCTCTCATTTTGAGATCAGTTTCCCTCTCTGTCTCTCTTCTTGATTTTTCTTTGTTCATATTTCCACCATGTGCCCTTCGGCATATTATTGCATAATCCAAGCAAACATGTGGATCAAAACTCCATTATGTCAGTTCTTTACAATTGTCCTTGCCAAGACATGTTGTCATGGTGAGGGACTTTTGTTAAATTGGCCAGGAGGTTTAATTCTTCCCTGACTTCATCAATTGTCAAGGACATTGCATATCATTGTCCATTTTTCGCAATCAACTGCCACTGCCTTTTCACCACGGGTGTTCCTTATTTCCTGCTTTCTGTTTCAAATGCCTCCTGACTCCTCTCTCTAATTTTCATCGTTGCTGATATTTTATCCATGTTCTGCCTCAGCACTGATTGGAGCTGGCTGAGAAAGGAGAATGTAGAATTATTCGTCATGGGTCCATGTCAGATAGCCTGGACTGTGTATATATTAATCAGCCTCATTTCGACCTTCTTTCCTCCTTTTTTCTTTCACAATTGGCATATTTAGAAAAGCCTTCATGCACATGTCTGTTTCACAAAGTGATAGTTCTTGCAGTGGGGGTGAGGAAAGAAGTTGTCTGAGTGGAACTTCCTCCTTACAATTGGAATATGGAGGAAATATGGGTGATTCAACACCTTGGAAGTAGTATGGCATGTCCACGGTGTAAAAATCTGATCTGGGTGAACTAAACGAAGCATAGCTGAATATTTGCCATGGAAATAATGATGGTGTAACGACGGGCTTCTGATGTTCCTTATATTGGAAAGAAGTTGTAAGATTGCATAAATGGTTTTATGAAGTCTGAAAATATACAACATGGCAGAAGATATCAGATATTTCTTGGTGTGATATAGTGAGCTGATCATTTTCTTAAAACTTCCTTATTGCTCATATGCTCTGTCCATGGTATGAGGTGTCTTGTAGGCTAATGTTTGCCTATACAATGTAGACTACTAATAATTCTATCCAGTCTTACTCTATATTATGATGATAATAAATGTAAATAGATGTTCAGCGTCACCAAATTTGTACAAAATTAATAAAAAGGTTAAAGGGGGGAAAAATTGCCGAAGTCCTTTAGTGAAACTATTTGAAAATCATAAATCATTTGCCACATTTTTTTTTTCTCCAGGTAACCAATAGTTTAGTTGGGGGTGATCATGGTGTCCCCACTGCCAGCCTCGGGGCTACATGGCAGTTTGTACCACATAACCGGATCCTTTTGCGGAGAGAGAATAGTTCTTCTCATGAAAGCAGAGAAAACATTAGGCATGCAACAATTCTCAAAAGTTGTCGCCAAGTAAGTAAATTTCATTTTTTGTGATTTCTTTTTATTAGATAAGTTTTAAACTATTCCTTAAATCACAGAAAAAGATGTATATCTATGGATACACATTGCATTTTATATATCACATTTCCTGTCATATAAGGTGCCCTTTTATCAAAAATATTTTTCCAAAAATTATCCAACTTATGCAGTGATTGTTGTCTTACACTAGTCCCCTGATGACCCCAGAATTAAATATATATAATTATAAATGATTAAATTAAGATTACAAATCAAAATAATGTTAAAATATAAAAAACACTTCAGTTTGACTCACTAATCCTCTGAAGTTCTCAAAATAAAATATATTTGTAGAGGAATATGCCAAGGTAAAGTGAAGAAATAAATTATCTTCAAAACAGTTTTACCAATTTAAATGATTTTTTTATTATTGAGTATTAGTTTTCTTTCAAACTGAAAGAAATGAATTACAAACATACTTTGTAAAACAACTTCACACAAAAATATTTTTGTTTATCTTCTTTCTGACATAACTGAATCAATTGTGTTAGTATGTATATAAATAGAATACGTTTACATGTGAGAATGGGTGTGTCATGTTTTTACTTTGCTTTATGTATGCGTGTAATTTTTTAGTAGCAGCATGCTAGCAGGAAGCCAAGATGACAGTTAAAGCTGTTTTGATACTATTGCTAAAAATCTTTGTTGTTAATAACTTGGTTCATGTTTTTTGTGATTCTTAGCATTGCTAAGCCTTTTTTGTAATATAGTATACTCAGATTTCAGCTTGTATAACAACAAACAACCCTGGTCAAAGTTTAATTGAAAAACTAATTCTGCAAACTAATATGAATGAAACATTGGCTCTAGAAAAAACATTTAGATTTTATTAAACTCATAAGATTATAAATGATTAAATTATGATTATAAATCAAAACTATGTCTAAAATGAAAAAAAAATAATTGCACACAAGTGTTACATTTACAGTTTGACACTTTTACTACTGCATTGTTATAGCATTATTGCTTGGCTGTACAGGCCTATTTTTTTTGAAAAATAGAAAATTGAAATAAAATAAAAGACTACAAAACAACTGATGATGATTTCTCATGAGTGCTGCCATTTTGGTTTCAGTTAGATGCTCTGCAGTACAGACTAAACTAAACGACACCCCAACATGCAATATAATAAAAATATGTTCCAAAACAAGTCATATTTATGCTACTTTGGAAATAGCATCATTTCTAATTGTTCTAAAGAGCTTCTCTCTTTGGGACATCGACTTCATGAACTTAAGCATCGTGCTAGATTGTCAGATAGGTCTCATCATTTTACTGTTGAAATTACTAAGTGTAACTGTAAGTTCTAAATATATAATATAATTATATGTATATATAAAATACACCATGAAACCAGTTGTATTGTACGCTACTGTATGTCTTCATTGTTTTAGAAATAACACTAATCACTATTTAGCTTATAACAAAGACATGAAAGAGTGACATTGTCAAAAAACGTATGTAGACATTGATAGCAGACAATGTAAGTTTCAAAAAGACGTATACAGCAGTATTACGTAGACTTCTATAATTTTTCTCACTTTATCAATCTATTGTTATGAATATTAAAAAATAATTCTTTTTTTTTTATTGTTTTGAATTGCTTCTTATCGCAAATTTAATCAATTCGTCAATCTACGAGAGGCCAAAAGATGAATGGGATTCAACAAGACAGAAGATGGCGATTGACATTGCATTTAAATTTTTGAAGATTGTAATTATCAGGAAAGTGAGTAAACAGAAGGGTGTTTCACAGGTGGCAAGTGTGAGAAAAGAAACTGTATTTGTTAAAAAAGACAGAGGTCAGTGAGAAAGTGACTGAAATTGATGTACCTGGTCTGGATTACAGATTCTTCTTTGGATTTTGTCAAAAACCTTGAGATGAGTAACAGGAGTATATAACCAGATATGACAACAGTATCCAATGCATGGATGAATGGTAGATTTGTAAATGTGCAAAATGGATTCAGACAAGAAAAATGAAAGCATTTTTATTTTGGAGGCATTAAAATAATTTACTAAACGACTACAAAGACACTGATGACAGTTTCTCATGGATGTTACCTTTTTGGTTTCAGTTAGATGTTCTGCAGTACAGACTAAACTAAACGACACCCCAACATGCAATATTTTATGGTTATTATATAAATTATCTTCTCCAATTTTGTATGGTCCAAAGAAATCATGATTCAGCTTAAAATTGTTGGGTATGAGGAAGATTTTAAAACACACTGGAAAACTTGTGATAAAACCAACAACAATGAAGATCATCGACATAATTTCAGGAAGACTCCAATGTACATGAAATAATGATAAAAACAGAAAAGAGACGGATCTCAGTACAAGTAACTTGTAAAGGAAAAGACCAGTTTTTTTACAATATGCTTTAGAATGTGTGACAAACTTTTGACAATGCAAAACCACTGATTTTTTATAGATTTATTGGAGAGGATTTTGTGATAGATTTTTCTTTAATAATTTTTTCACTAAGTCTGTATATTTTCTTAGTAACTTTGCTTTTTTTATTATTTTACCACATAAATTATTATACCTTCCATTTGTAGCTCTCTCGCTTGAAGGAGAAAAAAAGTCCAGTTTATTTGTCTTTTATCCATTGACATCTGATTCCAGAAAATGTGTTCCAAGAAAGTCATGGATTTATTTTCTTTTATTTATTTAAATTTTTTGTTTGCTTATCAGGGTTTAAGCTGCAAAATGTCTTTTTTTAAGGTCACATCTAGTGAAAAAATAATCTTTATCTTCTATGTGTCATGTTCCTTCAGAATGTGGGCGATCATATCTCACTATAATTTCCTGTCCTCAGTAGCTCTTGGTAAGGTTTGTCTTTTTGCTATCTCTCCTAAGCCATTTATACAAGCCCATTAGGTAGGTTACTTCCTTCTGTCTCCCGTGACTTTAATATATCCCTGTGTGTATCAAATTCTCCAAGCCCACATTTCTCCTGTGTCCTAGAAATTTCAGTTGACTCATTCTGATTCTAAGTATAAGTATACTTTTTGTTTCCATTTTATCTAAAATCTCCTTGTTACTCATGTGTTCATTCCATGGTATTCTCAGCAGCCTTCTGTAGAACCACATTTCAGTTAACTCAAGTCTCTTCATTATCTGTGAGATTTCCAACATTTATTGCTGTATAGGGAGATTGATATTATGTAACGGTTAAATACTCTTTTCTTCATTTCTAAGAAAATTTTCCTGTTTCTTAATATTTTGCTTAGCTTTTAGAAAGCATTTTTCACTATTTCAATATTCCTTCAGATTTTGTTGTCACATTTTCTGTTCTTTATTAAAAAAAAAAGAAGAATACCTTCTGTTATACTGGAACATCTATTCTATTGTTAATAGACTCTCCCACCTATAATAAGTAGGAGTAGTAGTAGTTGCTAAGTCGCTCAGAGAGTTGGTCAGTTAGTCGATGTCAGACGACTGTTAGTCGGATACTAAAAGTATCAGCGACCACCACTAGATTTCTCTGCATCATTACCTATTATATCAAGTTCCTAACGTTTTGTACGTTGAACCTATTTTAAGACCGACTTAGTGAAATACAAGCCTCCACTGTGAAACTACTCTACAACACCTTCTTAGATATTTAAATTTCTGTACATGCTGATACTCCAGACAACAATATTTATATCTTACGCTTATAGTATTAAATGGAATATTATTGAGGGTTCTTAATCGAAAAATTGTTAGTTGTTATAAATTTTTGGTTAGCATTTATTTCACCTTATTTCTCCTATTTTAGAACCCAGTAGTAATAGCCTTGACTCGTCTATATTTCCTGGCAGGAGCATAGTTATTTATTAATAATATTTGGCTATTTGCAGTAATATTTTTTTTTGATTTGGTGACAAATAATAATTAGTTCCAACCCTGTGTTGGGTAGTGCAGATTTAGACTGAGGGTGAACAGTATTAAACAAAGAACAAGACAAGGTATACTGAGGCATGAAAACTGGAATGAGAACATTCTACTCCTGTAGATTAAATAAAGTGTTCAGTTTAAAATTACCTGAAGGTTCCTAACATTGACAAGCACCTGATGAAGGCTGGAGGGCCCAATGGTCAAAATGTTGTAATATTAACAACAAAGATGAGAATAACAGACCAAGTATAATAATGTAAATAATAATGACTCATCCCAGAAATTCAGATTAGAAATCTTCAAACAATCTAAGCTTTTTAAATTAAGTATTGTCATTATGTTATGTAATATTTTGTCTTGTATCTGCTTCGATATTATTTAAATTATAATGATTTGCTTGGTGTTTTCTCTTGCTTTCTTCATGTTGTCAATCTGAGATGGACCATTGTCATTAGTGCACATTTTATTTGGTGTATCTACCAATCTTCCGCAAATCTATATCAGGTTTGGTAATCTTCGAAGTGATTTAAAGAGAATTCTTTATTCTTCACAATTTTCTTTTAGACATTTTTTTTGTTCTTTCTTGCCATTTCAATTAAAATACTAGACAGATCTGAATTAGAAAAAGTTTCTACACTGACAGGATAAAGAATGCGCTGATCCAAAAAAATATCTAAATAACAAAGAGGAAGTTAAATTTTAATTTGAATTCATTATTCTTAGATGCCTACTTTTTCATTGGTTCTCCTCATGAATTGGGCGATGGAACACAATTTTGCCATGGAGTTATCTTTATTTCTCCAGCTTTTAGAAAGCATTTTTCATTATTCCAATGTGCGTTCAGATTTTGGTATTGCATTTTCTGTCCTCTATTAAAATAACTTCCTAAATTTCTGTATGTGCTGGTACTCCAGATGGTAATATTTAGATCTTAGGCTTATAGTAGTAAATGGAATATTGTTCAAAGTTCTTAACTGAAAAAACAGTTGTTATAAATTTTTGGTTAGCATTTATTTAATCTTATTTCTCCTTCTTTTGCACCCAGTAGTAATAGCCTTGAGTTGTCTGAATTTCTTGGAAGGAGCATAGTTATTTATTAATAATATCTGGCTATTTGCAGTATTTATAAGTGAACTATTTTCCTCAACTTTGTTGTTGCTATTGCAATATTTCGGCTGTTCTGCCCTCAGCCTTTTATCAGGTGTCACCTACAATGAATTCTTAACTGGAACCTATATTTAATCAATGCTAATATCTAGAGATATCTAGTTTTGTTTTTATTTTTACGAATGCATAGTTATTGTTCACCCTGTTTTCACTGAGTCCAAGGATACTCTGCCCAGCTCTGAGATTGAACTCACAATTACTATATCGCCAAATTCAGGAACCAACGCTGTAATCCACTTGTCCAGTAGAATTAACTGCCATGTCATCGGAAGTGGAACATGAACTGTCCCTGTAGATTAAATAGTCTTCACTTTGGTTACCTGGATTAATATACACACCTGTTGGAAGCTGGAGGGCACAATGGCCAAAGTGATGTGATGATAACAATAAAGATGAGGACAATAGTCCAAATATAAATAGTGTAAATAATGATAACTCCTCATCCCAGAAATTCAGACAGAAGGCGATCAGGTGATAATAACAACAAAGATGAGGACAATAGTCCGAATATAAAAAGTGTAAATAATGATAACTCCTCATCCCAGAAATTCAGACAGAAGGCGATCAGGTGATAATAACAACAAAGATAAGGACAATAATCCGTATATAAATAGTGTAAATAATGATAACTCCTCATCCCAGAAATTCAGACAGAAGGCGATCAGGTGATAATAACAACAAAGGTGAGGACAATAATCAGAATATAAATAGTTTAAATAATGATAACTTGCTTTTCCTCCTTGTGGTAATTGTCTTAATCTATGATTATTAATTTCTATAATCCTTGCTTTTTATTTATATTCCAAGATCATTATTTTACAACTATTAATAATAACTGACAAGTCTTCATCTTAAAAATTGAAATATTATTGTTTTTGGTAAAGAATTTCATTAAATTTTCTTTTCTTTTTTTATAGTAGCATATGTAAAATTGTTTGTTTTCCATTTTTTTAAGGCAACTGGTCCTCACAACTCCTTTACTATTACAGACAAAGGATTGTTATAAGTGGAAAAAATAAAATGAGTAAGTAATGGATTTCTTATCTTTTTCTTGTTTTCTTTTTATAAACTTATTGTTTGTTGGAATCAATGTATTATATAAACATCATTGGAGTTGCTCTTCAAAATGCTTATACTTACCCTGATTCCTAATATTGAATACGTTTTTATTTTTAGTCTTGAATAATTTATCCTTGTTCGTAAACTTACATTTTGACTAACATTCTCAAAATCTGACCAAACAATATTTTTAAAGGGAAAAAGCTTCTTGGTTGGGCCAAGTACTTTTCAGTACAGTTTTCCATAACTGACATCAATTTTGGTCATTACTACTGCAGAATCATTTTAGATATGTGGGTTCTGGTCATATTGACCATGAACACTGTGAGCATCTTGGCCATGAGAACCGAGGGTAATTTTGACCATGAAAACTGAGGGTAATTTTGACCACAAAAACTGAGGGTATTTTTGACAATGGGAACCTAGGGTAATTTTAGCCATGAGAACCAAGGGTAATTTTGACCACGAGAACCGAAGATAATTTTGACCACGGGAACCAAGAGTAACTTTGACGATGGATACCAAGGGTACTTTTGACCACGAGAACCGAGGGTAATTTTGACCATGGGCATCGAGGGTAATATTGGCCATGTGAACTGATAGTAATTTTGCCCATGACTACTCTGGATAATTTTTGTCATGGGTACTGGATGGTAATTGGCCATAGATATTGTGGGTTATTTTAGGTTCTGATGGTAATATTGGTTATTGAAACTGAACTTAATATTGACCATGGGTATTGTTGGAAATAATGCTGGGTAATATTGGCTGTGGGTACTAATGATAACTTTGGTTATGGGTACTTAAACTAATATCAGCCATTTGTACTGAAATAGCATAAAATCTTTTGATATGATAAAAGACAACAATGCCATTTTGTTTTCCAGCATAATGGGGAATTTCAAAATGGCATTATGTTTAATTAATAAATGTTAATTAAAGAATTTACTTGATTGATGTAAGTTTTCTTGAGTTTGTTATTCAGAGCATTCAAGTGATTTGTAAATTAGATAAACTGCTTTTGAATGTCTAAACCAAAAATTATAAAATCAAAATAGTTAATTGAAATTGATAATTAAACAACTGTTTATTGTTTGTTTATATTTCTGAGACGAGATATTATGTACGATATTTACATTATTTGGACTATTGTCCTCATCTTTGTTGCCATATTTATTACAACATTTCGGCCGTTGTATGCTCCAGCCTTCTTCAGGTGGATGGAATGTCAAACTGAACCCTTTATTTCGCTCACTGGGGTAGACTGTTCTTGTTCCACGTGCCATGTTTAATGGATGTTAGTTATCAGTTATCTCCTGTTAATTCCTCTCTCCAAGTTCTCCACTACCTTCACCGGGTATTGAACTCACACTCTTTGGTCCCTGTCACTAGATCTAGCCAACACCTTTATCCACTGTGCCATGAAGACATCTGTGTATGAATTTCTGGGTATTATAAACCTAATGTCTTCAGCAACCATATTTTACCAGTACTGATATTACAATTTTTGCTGTTATCATTGGGTAAGTGTAAGCGTTCTCAAAGCAAATTTGTCACAGATTACTCTCCCAACAAACGCCGTAGCCAAAAATGCCCGAATTTTCCTTCCACCGAATCGAGAACACCAACTGCTTTTATCAGCAGAACCTATTTTTTCATTCGTCAACAGCTGGGATAGGATGCTCCGTAATTTGCATATCAATATCCTCTTATAGCGACTCCTGCGACGGACTTGTTTCTTTTTCCGTCACAGAACACACGCGACGCGCTGTCGTTTGGGTTGACGAGGTAAGTCGCCGTTTTCTTCGCTATAAGATTTTTGCTGACTACTTTTTGGTAATCCTTCTTCCGCAGATCGCACACAAAACACAAACTTTTTTCCGAGGTACCTGATTATCTCTTTAACTACACATTTCATGTTTTTACCAGAGCTCATATTACAATTTTTGTTGTTATTATCACTTTTCTCTGGCACACCTTATTACTGAGTCCCATATTGTATTCATTTCTATGATTGGTCGGCTCAGGAGATTGTTGTGGCCTAACATATGTGCTGATTCCTTAAGTCTACGAATTTTCCAATGGTGTTCTTTGTCTATGATCTCAGCCTGATCCCACAGAGGATGGTGATCTCCCTTTTCTCTCCATATGTGGTCAGCCATGCCTGATTTTTCCACTTTCCCTCATGTTACAGCTTTCGGTGTCCTTGAAGGGGGCGCCCTGTCTCCCCTTTATATTTCTTTCCGCAGCTGACTGTAGGGGTACATCCCAATGTGCAGCCCCTTTAGAAAGTTACTGGAAGCCATACCACAGGTTGAACCAAGCCTTGTGAGTGTGACACAGCCCTTGGGGGTCATTGATAGCTGTGCTAGCAGAAAGTCACAAGTCATCGTGGCCGAGGGCTTGAATGTGCTGGCCTTGTTCAAATTTGTTGATCACACTTGATAACATGCTTTTTCCTATAAACTGTAACTAAGGTCTGCTCAGTATAGTTGCAGTATAAACCACAGGTGGGATCTGTGGGTGTTGAATAAATACAAATGTGCCTGAGCAAGCGTCTGCAATAGGGATTGGCTAGCCGCCTTAGTAGACGGGTATCCTCATATATGAGTGGCCAGCTATACCGGCTCCATTTTATAGATGCTATATACAAATTAAATAGCCTGTATTTCAAAATCTGGAAACTGAAGCACTTCCGGTCCCAAGAATTTGGGACAAAGGATTCTTAACCTGTATTAAGGTAGAAGGTAATGATAAAAATGGTACTTGTAGAATGCATAGTGGTTAGTGAAAGGGTGAGTCAAAAAGCAAATTACAAATTGGAGATGGCAAAATTAAATAAATACAAAAATTTAAGTATCTGGTAAGTGTTAACAGAGGTCAGAAAGTATGACACTGAAATCCAAAGGCGCATTGGGTTAGCCAAAGATGCCTTCCAAAAGCTAAGCAAAGTATTAAGAAACAAGAAAAAGAGTACTGAACTGTTACATGATATCTGTCCTCCTATATGGCAGTGAATGTTGGACAATCTCCTCACAGATGAAGAGATTTGAAGCAACAGAAATGTGGCTCTACAGAAGGATACTGAGGATACAATGGACTGGATATATAAGCAACAACAAAGTTATAGAGAAAATTGAAACCAAAGGGAAACTTATACTTAACATCCAAAAGAATCAGTTGAAATTTCTAGGGCGCATAAAATGGATTGGAAAATTTCTTACAGGCAAAAGGGAGAGGGAAAGATACTGCTTAACATCGTGAGATTGAGTAAACAGATGGTGGAAGATGGTTTAGGGGAAAACAAAAAAGACAAAGTTCATTAAGAGTTACAATGGACAGGAAATTTGTGGAAAAGCCATGATTGCCTTTGTCCTTAGGAAACATGACACATAAAGAAGTAGGAGGAGTTTTTCTTGGGAAATTTGCTATGTAGAAACTCAGAGTACAGTATCTCTTGGTTTGAAATGGAGAAAGTGGTTTTATATATATATATATATATATATATATATGAAAGTGGACATTGTTTCATGCTAGACGCAATCGTCAGGCCATGAGTGTTGTTTTTTTTTTTCGGCTATTTATATATACAGGTCAGTTGTGCATTGTAGGTAGTCTATTCTGGTGGTTATTTTGCCGGAAGTCGTTTATTTACTTATTTATTTATTTATTTATTTGGGTTAAATTATTTTGCTTGTTTTTTTTTTTTTTTTTTATTTTTTTATTTTTTTTATATTTTTATTTATTTTTATTTTAATTTATTTTTTATTTTAATCATAGTTAAAATTTGTTTATAATTAAAGCTTTTTATTCAATTTAGGGGTTTTGATTTTGTTTATTAATTTATTTATTTGGATTGATTATCTTTACTTGTTTTTTTTAATTTAATTTTCGGGATCGGTTTTTAGTTTGTTTATTTATTTGATTAATTTAGATTAATTTATTTTACTTTTTTTATTATTTAACTGTATATTTTAGGATTTTTAAGTAAGGAGTATATTTTAGTTTTTAATTTGTTTATATAGACGAAAGGAAAACTTCAGGTTTTATTTGAGGGAATTTCAAGGCAAATTGATCTTTTTATCTATAATTTTATTGTTTTTATATAATGGTTAATTTATATTGCTTCAAGGTTTTTAGTTTGTTTATTTTATTTGGATTAATTTAGATTAATTTATTTTTTTTTTTTTTTATTATTTATTTTACTGTAAATTTTATTTTCTCTTTCATAAAGGATTTTTGATATTGTGTAAAGTAGTATTTTTTTTAGTATGTATATTCAATTTTTAGCAATGTATCAGCTTTTATGAAATCAGGTTTGAACCATTTCAGAGATAGTGGCTTCAACATCCAGAGGTGAAGTCTGTTTGATCTTCAAGGCATTGAACTTTAATATGCCTCTATCCTGATAATTTTACCCCATAATTAAAACTATATTTTTTTGGATAGTTTAAGGCCTGCAAGATCAGGAGGAGAGATCGAATAGGGTGGAAGGTAATGGTTATCTAGTATATATTTGATTGTAGACCAAGTAAATGGTTAGGAAGACTCATGGGAAGAAGCTGTTAGAACTTTTCACCAAACAAGTTTGATTGCAGATATATCATATATTAACAGTAAGTACAACAGAATTTTATGAATCTTTAGCAATGACTAGTAATCAGTGAATTTCAGACATGTCAGTTGTCCCAGTGTTCAATCTATAACCAGCCACTTTTCCTCCAAGACCTTCTCTCCTATCATATATCTTACCAAGTAGGTTAAAGAAATAACAAAACATAGATATATCTTTAGATGGAATAGTATTACATGACTACAACGTGTCAGATTTGTCCCAGTTTTCAGTCTGACCTTCTCTATGGAATCTTTTTGATTCCAACATTTTTATAATTACCACACAATACTTTTTATTGAACCGTATGGAAATAAACACAATACTTTTTTTGA